AGTATTATAAGTATTTTGTCAGTGCCACTGTAATTTTGAACAGTTGCTACACGAATGGTTGTAAATTGAGGATTATTTCTATGGTTACTAAATCTAGGTACTCTATTTCCCATTACTATGCATCACTGATTATCTCAGTTTGTTTCTTTTTCTCACTATATACACTCTCCATGATAAATCTTTAAATATGAATTTAAACCTTTTCTTCCTTTACAAAGAACAAAAGCATGAGGCCCTTGCTAGGATAAACTTTTTCTTCACATAACTAGGAGATAGAGTGCATTCTGTTCTGCATTCAGGAAAGTCATCAGCTTACCTTTGCCTATAAGGTTGCTGTTTAAGGCATAGTTGCAAAGACCAGATAAGAAAACGACAATTTCAGCCAATATTAATCTTCTACTCCCACAATTTCCTTCCCCTCTCTGCTCACTTTTTAGTAAGATGCCCATTCCATTCTCTTTTCAAGCTCTACCTCTTCAGTTATGATGCTTCTTTGCAATAGCTAGAATGTTGCCCCTATGTAATACGAGCTTCTCACACCTCTTGACAAAATAATTTCCAGCTTTTTTCCTCATAAAACTGTATTTATTTGTTGGTTAACATTCTGTCACCAATTCTGTATTCATGGTCAAATATTTCACTGATTAGTTTTGCCAGTTCTGCCTCAGTTTTGACTGCTTTTTAAGATGTGAGTTCTTCAACTGCCAGAATTCCCCAGCCAGGCTGGCTAGAGAATTCTGCGAATCAGTCTACACATCTTAAAATTGTTGAGATTGAGAAACACTGTGTTAAGAGCCTGAGGATTTTATCTTACAGACAAAAGATAATACTATCTGTACTGCCTCTGCTGGTATTCATATAAGTACACACTGTATACCATTCAGCTGAAACATATCTAAAACTGGGATTCCTCAAAGTCATCAAAGGTGCCACTTGCAGATGAGGTTTGAAGGGATATTTGTAACTTGCAAAAGAGCTAATTTGCTGTAGTGATTAAAGTACTAGTCTAAAAACCATGACAATTTGAGTTCCAGCCTTGCCTTTGTCACACAGCAGCCAGCTCGGTGACTTTGAGCCAGTTATTCTCTCTCAGTCCTAGAAATTGACAAACTATTCTGAAAATATTGCCAAGTATACTGCAAGGACTCAGCTAGGTACTCACCAGGAATCAAGCCTGCCTCAAGTCCCTGCTCTGCCTTCCACAAAAGGTAAAATAAAGGATCTTCCCAGGGCACCTGTTACAAAAGTCGAAATAGTGGCCACGACGGTGTGGTTGAAACGTAGCTTTTATTTTGCATGCAGGCGCTAAAACAAGTGGGGCTTCACACACATAGCCACAGCTACCCCCTTGCTTCCCCCCCCCCCATGACCAGCTTCACCAGCCCATCTCCAACAATTCCCTTATTTTTTGCATATCATGGTGGTGTAAAAGACAAAAAGACCAATTAATATTGGACATTCACATTAAACTGCTGTTGGTGTGAAAAATTAGTATGTGTTTTTGAGCCTTCTGGATTGAGGAACAATGGTTTCTTGTCCCATCTTCCAGGTATTAACTAGAATACTGCTTTAAAAAGTCTGTGTTCCTTTTGCATACACTGCAACTTTAATATCCATTAATATTATTTATTTTAGATTTTTACTATCACTTGAATGTTTTTCCTCTTCATTTCTACCATCAATAAGATTGATACAACAGCACAACCAACTAGTTTCTTTGGATCTGGCTTAGCATATCTATCAGTGTTTTTAATCCCTGACAAGTTTAAAATGTGTGGATTTCAGTTGCCAGCATACTGAAGTCCACATGTCTTAAGGTTGACAAGGTTGAGAAACTCTTATCTGTACAGGTAGTCCTCGACTTATGACCACAACTGAGCCCAAAATTTATGTTGCTGAGTGAGAAAGTTTTGCCCCATTTTCTTGCTAGTGAATCACTATTGTTAATTTAGTAACACGGTTAAGTGAATTGGACTTCCGCATTGACTTTGCTTGTCAGAAGGTTGCAGAATCACATGAGCCCAGGACATTGCAATTGTCATAAATATGAGTCAATTGCCAAGCATTTGATCACGTGACCATGGAGATGCTGCAATGGTTGTAACTTCAAACAGTCACTAAATGAACTGTTGTAAGCTGCAGATTACCTGTATGGTTGTGCACTATAAATTATACCTTCGCATTAGGTGTGAATGCAATCATTTTAATTTTAGTAAACACTTGTCTAATGCAAATCATGGCCTGGCAGAACCTACAAATGCAGCTGTCTCTGCTCAGAATAATCCTTTATTACTAATAGGAATTATAATTGTATCACTTACATGTTTGAGGTGTTTTTCCAAGGTGATCAGGAAGATCAAGTTAAGCGTACCTTCCATGGAAACTCTCTGAGAGATTATGTGACGTCAGCTTAATCTATCCCATCAGTTTATAGGAGAAACTGAAGGTGCTCTAAACACTACCTTGTTGTTAACAGAAAAGATTGAGTGTAAAATCTATCAGCACCTCAAAAGAAACAATGAAATACAGCAATTAAAATCCAGTATTAAAACCCAATTTAAAACTGTAGGTGTAATACCGTAGGTGGTTAAATAATTAGCAACACAAGTGCATAGCTTACCTTTAGAAGGCCTCACTTCCAATGAAAGAGTGTTGGGTTATGTTCAATACTCATGGAAAGACGGGGTTGTAGTTTATACATGTGTTCATATGACATTCCAAGCTACCAATTAGCATCTATGGTTATCATAAGGCTTTCTGTACTGAGAAGAATTTTTAAAAATTAAACATTTGACATATCAATCAAAAGAACAGTTTTGTGTTCCCAAACACAAGTTGAAAATGATCTAGCTAAGCATAAGAATAAAAGCATAAAAAGCATGTGACTGGGTGGGCATGGCTTCTTTGACTTTTTTTTTTTGCAGCAACCAATGTGTCAAGGATAGGTGAGTCAAAACGGTGATTGAGAATAGGAATATGTGAGATCTTCTAATAAGCTTTATCTAACTTAATATTTGAAGCCTTTTGCTATAGAACATTTCCAGATTCTAGTTTAAAGCCTGGCTGCTACAGGAAAAATACAAATAATTTCAACTGAGAGCTCAAAAGTAGTCTAACTTACCTAAAATACAAAAATGGCTTATTGCTGTAATTCCTCCTGCTGCCATCTAGTGGCCAACTGCTGAAGCAAGTAAATGTTTCAAATCCCATTTCTACAGCTGTAATAGATGTTACAGTCCTCGACTTAAGACCATAATGGAGATCAGAATTTTTGTTAAGCAAGGTGATTGTTAAATGAGTCGTGCCTAATTTATGATCTTTTTGCCACAGTTAAGGAGTCATTGCAATCGTTTAGTGAATCATTCAGTCTTCAAAATTAATTCAGCTTTCCCTATTGACTTTGCTTGCCAGAAGTAGGCTGGGACAGTTGTAAATGGTAATCGAACATTACAAATACAAGCCAGATGCCAAGCAACCAAATTCTGATTATATGACTATGGGGATTTTGCTGTGAAGTGTGAAGTCTGGTTGTAAGTCACCCTTTTGCAATGCTATTATAACTTGAAATCAGTGGTTGTGAGGACTACCTGTATTGCCTCTTTTTATTAGAGCATAGTCTGTTATGTTTGCAGATTCTTTCATTAACTTAGTGCACTGGATTTGCACAGTGCATGGAACTATAAACTAGCCTTGCTTACCTGGATTTGCATCATGCTCCTGTCCAGAAAGTACCAACTGCACAGTCTAACATGTTGTATAAACTCAGCCAATAGTATGGATAATGTTACCTAGTTTGGATAATGAAACATCTGCAAGAAAACAACCAAGCTCAGGGGACTAATGACCCCTCAACTCAGTCAATGGCTGCAGTAAAAGCAATTTTATTAACAGTGATGATTGAGAAGAACAGACTGAGACTCCCATGATTTTCATATTTGGGCTACAATTTTTTGAATATCACTAGACAAGACCATTGCAGAGTTCTGTAATAGTTTTCTATAGTTCTTTGTTGCTCCTGCATTGGTATTCAGCCCAAGATCAAAGTATTTTTGTAACCTAGGTTTGGTTGCCTAAAGTACCTCACATAAAGGATGGCAAGATCTGTATGTTAAGAGGCAAATACAGGGGTCTGATTTAATATGTGATTCTGGCCTATATACGTATACAGCCTTGGAAAGCCTAAGGTACGAAGAGCTCCACAAGTTGCCACCAACCTTTAAATGATCAGTGAAAGCTTCTTATGCTTTCCTAGTTTGGAGACTTCAAAGTATGGTTACTAAAGCAATACAGCCATTTCCTATTGTTGTATATCAGAATTGATACAGAACATCAATTTGTTTTTACAGCTACTACTGTAATAACTGCTCAAATTTTTTGGTCACGTGCGATCCCCTGTACTGAATATCAATACGTAGTTTGAAACAATCATGCGATTTCTAACATTTACACGGGAGATGGGAAAACTGCGCAGAAACATATTTAATTGAGCGAATCCAAATGGTGCCCAAAGGAATTCAGCCTTAAGTTACAACCCACAAAAACTGGCTTCCCCATAAAGCAAAACCGAAAAATTCGTGAGTGACTCAGTTTAACTCAAAATGTGAACCTGGCCAGCAAATTCCCCAATTCCTCCAAAAAGGGCAATGGAAAATTTCGGGGTACAAAACTTCGGATCACTCTCGGATACCAATGAAGCGAGCTTGCTATATCTTTTTGCTGTCAGCCGTTCAAATTTTTGTAACATACAACGCCTCACACGTGGCGCTATTTCGAATTCTCTGCGCGTTCCATGCTTTTGTAACCCTAGCTGAACGTTCTAGTTGTGGTTTCTTTCAATTTAATTTCCAGGTGATTAAGAACCGCCCATCCCCGCCAAACTCTCTTAAGGGAGGAGGCCGAACCTAGTCACATGTTCCTTTGTGATCACATGACGAAGCGAGAGGAAAAGGTACGGACGTGTTTTTCTTTTTGCTACGGTTACTAAACTCTTCTTTTCTTTTCTTTTCTTTTCTTTTTTTCAGCTTCTTCCGACCCCTTTCAGAAAAAAGGGCTTAACTTAGGTAAGAATTTAAAAGTGGTCGTTTCTTTATCTTAGTGTATTCATATTGAGTCTTTGGATTCACGTGTCTCTCTCTCTCTCCCGCCGTCCCCATTTCTCTGCCACTTCTAAGTCTAGTTGGAGGGGAACCGGGTTAGTAGGAATTACAAAAATTCAGAGGGAATTTCTGAGTAGCGAAAAGAGTATGTCTTCGAATGAAGTTTGTTGGAAAAGGTGCTATCGGGCTGTTTTTTTTAAAAAAAACCTTGGAAATACGTATTTTGTGGAAGTCCGTATCTAAAGCATGACATAAGAGCCTGTTTGATGTAATAGTTAAGGCACCAGTCTAGAAAGCGGAAGACCAGGAGTCTTGTGCCAGTCACGTCTCTCAGTCCCAGGATGCAGGCAATGGTAAACCATTTTTCTAGTCCAGGCCGTCGCTAAGACTGATTTGTATTGGCATTACAGCTCGATTTTAAAGTCCCCTTCCGTAGAAAGATCTTGCGTGAGGGCTATTACCAAGGCTTCTGTTGATTTTTATCAGCTTGGCATATAGCTCAAACACAAAATGTGTTTGTTCATCGATAAACTCCTGAGTTCATTGCTTTTTTGCCTGTCCATGCATCCCGAGAGGCTTGTATTATGAATGCAGGGAAAACATGCATGCACTTTTTTTTTTCAGAAGTAAAAAACCAACTATGGTTTGTTGGTTTTTTCCAGAAAGTTTTGAGGGTACCTGGTTTCAGCTGTATCGGAGAAGTCTCATTTGCAATTCTGAAGACTTTTCTTCTCTCTAGCACTGTAAATTGATGAGGGCCAGCTGCAGTCCCTTCTCCTTTTACTCCCTTCCCCTTTTACTCCCTTCCCTTTTACTCCCTATATTAAACTAAAGGAAGAGTTCTAGCAATTGGAATTTATAAGCCATTACATAAATGTAATTGTTTTAATAATACTGTCTTTGTCCAGGATGGCTTATAGTGAATGTTTCTGGCTGCATTCATATGCAAAACCAACATGTGCTTTATTTAAGTCATAATGCCTTGGGTATACCCACTCGGTGGTAAACTATTTCAGTCCATTGCTTGGAAGTGTTTTTGATAAATCATAATTAAGCCATGTCTTAATATAGACTAGGTTCTGTTCTGAAATAAGCCTCAGTTCTACACTACAAGGATAAACAGTTATTTGTCAATATTTGATATATTGCTATTGACAATTTTCCTTCCAACATGAAACAGGGTCATGGAACAGTATGTGAAGAACTGCAGCTTACCTATGTTTGTTTTATAAATTTGTCCAGAAATAAATCCTAAAGACTTCTAAAATCCAAAATTTGAATAGGGAAGTACAAGTTATAGTTGAACTTTGCCAAAACTGAGTAGTAATGTGTTTTGAGACCTCCAGAACTGGTAGTTAGAAAGTTTCTGCCTTTGGTTCTGAATGGGAGACACTATCTTATTCAGACTTATTGTGCATTCTGGAGGCTTCTTCTGGCTTCATAGAGGCTGCTCAGTTGCATAGGTCAGTTGTACCCATTCCTGGATTGTAAGGCCCTGCTCAGGGTTACTTGTGCTTTACTACCACTTAATAATACTACAGGTAGTCCTTAATTAAAACTGTTTAGCAACCATTCAAAATTGCATTAAAAAAATGACTTGTACCTTACACTTCTGGTCCTTATTATAACCATCACGGTCACATTTTCAAAGTTCAGCATCTCCAGTGTCATATGATCATTTGCAACTGTTCCAGCTTTATAACAAGCAGGTTCAATGGGGCAAACTAGATTTGCTTGCTGACCACATGATTCCCCTAACAGCTGTAATGATTTGTTGAACAACATGAGAAATAAAATTGAGTACAGTTCATTTAATTGTCATGTTTAGCAACAGAAATTCTGATCAGTGTCTATGGAGATTTTCAGTCATCTAGATCGTGATAATTCCAAAGGTGCTTTTTCAAAAGGTAACTGGACTTTGTTTTCCTTGAGGACATTTCACTTCTCATCCAAGAAGCTGCTTCAGTTTTGACTGAATGATGGAAAATAGATTTATATTCCTGATTGTCACCTAGTTGTTAGCACTCTTTCTGAGAGTCATTGAGGACATTTATCTGTACCTTCAGGGTCACCTGAATTGTGCAAATGGGTGTGGAATCTTTTTGGAAGTTCCTTTTTTACTTTGTACAATTTAAGGGAAGTTCCAGGAAGGTTCAATATCTCTGTGCAGGGCTGCTCTTGAAAACTATGAAAAATTCAGTTAGTCCAGAATGCAATGGCACAGGTTATTATGGGTGCATCACACACTGTGTGTAACACTGCTACTGTACAAGCTACCGTACACTGGCATCTTTGATAGGCTTCCAGTTGCAGTTCAAGGTGCTGGTTATCTTCAAAGCCTTAAATGGCATAGAACTGGGTTACTTGAGGGACAGCTATCTCCCAAGAATATGTGCTCATCCGTTATCTTCCTTGGAGGGCTTGCTCCATATTCCTTTTTAAAAAAATCTTGTCACTAGAAAGTGTGACATTTCTGTGGTTACCCTTGTTTTGTGGAATGCTCTGCAGGCCAAATATTGTGGTTGTTAAGCAAACTCATTCACTATGGAGTGCTTTTGTCAACAACTGGCATTTGCATTTGCTGATTTTCAGCAAAAATGTTGTAAATTGCAGTTCATAACTCTGGAATGCTAGAAACAGCCATAAATGTTACTGGCAATGGTCATGGTGTTGGTATTTCAGAACTGAGTCACAAATACTTTTTGGGGAGATCGATTGTAAGTTTGAATGGTTACTAAGCAACTAGCTGAGAACTACCTGTATATTTTCCCCCCACTTTTATTTTTGATAAATAAAGGAAACAAACATAGTTAATACTTTTTTCCTCCTGTTTTTCCCACAATTTTGAAGTAAGTTGGGCTGAGAACATGGTTGGTTCGAAGGCTTTCATGCCTAAGGCAGCACTAGGATTCATACTTTCCTGGTTTCTAGCTTGTTGCCTTAACTACCAGATCAAGCTGGCCCTAAATTATTTTCTGAGCACTCTTCACTCTTAACATGTTTCTATTTCAGAATAATAGATGTGGTTATATATTGTTTTGCCCAAATTTGCTGGAATAAAACAGCTTAGATCACATGTTCTAATGAGCCATAATTAAACAAGTTGCATTATGTTATGATCAGTAAACAGTGAAAAAGCTGACTAGTGGCATCTAATCTACTATTTACTCTTTACTGATTTCCAGTTTTTTTCTAGCCCTTCAGAGGTAGCAAAATTTTATTGGTTTATTTCTGTGCTGGCTGGGAATTTGACGAGTTAAGCTGTTATATTCTTAGGGGAGGTTTGGTTGGTGAGAATGCATTCATTTGTTTTTAGGACCCGGTATAAGTCCCCAGGTGATATAAAACAATGGTGATGTTCTTGACATGTTCATTTGGCTTTAGGTACTGATGGACTCGGAGCGGAAGGTTCCCGATGACTTAAGATACAATGTATTGCAATTGCTAATCAACCACCCAAATGGTATCAAATTTGGGGACTTCAGTGCAGCTTTTTATCAGATCCATAATTTTCATCCCAAATTCTCTCATTATGGGTATTGTTCACTCAGACAATTGCTCGACCACATGAAAGAAACTGTAGTTGTAGAAGGCAAAAGATCATGTGGCTCAGTAATGAAGCTAGTAAGTGGTTTAAACCTTGATGGCTTGCTAGATGAAATAGAAAACAGTGGATTGGACAGTTTTGAAGAGGAAGATTCAAGATTGAAGGAGGAAAAAGGAAGAGAAAGAAAGGAAGATACAGCTGCATCAGCAGCAGGTAAATGCATTACCTATGGGGAAAAAGGCAGCCCAATACAGCTACAACTATAGCATTTGCCTCATATATTTGGCATTATATCTGGCTATCTGAAGCTTCATTTATTTATTTGCTTTATTTGTGTGCTGCCCATTCCCCCCCCCCCTTCCCTCAAAAGTCTGGTCAAAATTACAAGACTCTAAATAAATAAAATAACAGACTCAAATAAAATCCATTTATGAACCAGTTTCAAAATTATGGCTGCTGCAATAGCCCTGCATTTGTTCACCTTTATAAGCGATTGCAGGGATATTGCAGTGGCCCCCTTCCTATCTGTCCTACTCAGGCCAACACATTTCCCACAGCTGAAGCCTGCTTCCCACCCAGCCACTTAAGGGATCCTAAAGCTGGTAGAAGAAACTACTGGCACGCAGAGGACTGTTACATGTTATCCCGCACAAGACATCGTCTACTTCTGGTTAGTGCCAGGGCCCAGCAGCATGTAACTTGCTTTTCTATTTTTTTTTTTTTTTTGCAGAGAAGTATCTTGGCCGATGCGATCATAGATTCAGTTTTCCTACAGAGGCTATCTCATGTGAACCACATGCTAGACTCTATTTATTTGTGGAACCTCCTTAAAAAGCAGGACCCCCTAAAGGATCATGAGAATAATACTGCCTGCAGAATAGCAAGTGGTTGCCATGAGGCAGCCTCTGTAGGAAAGTTTAATTTCACATTGACCTGATGAGGCTCTGCAAAAAAAAAAAAAGGAAAGGTAAGTTTTATTTTATTTGGAAAATTTATATTGCTGCCTAGTTGCCCAGAACAACTCAAGGTGGCTTACAGGAAATAGAAACAATATAAAAGAAATAAAAATAATAAAATAATACCCTCAACACCATAATAAAATAATAACCTCCCACCCCAGTGACAACATAACACACACATACCAGCCATTTAATGTGTTCCATGCCACTCTGGGTTCCCCAGGCCTGCTGGCAGAACTTTGTATTTGAGGCCTTCCGAATGAGAGTTAGAGTGGGGGCCAATCTAATTTCCAGAGGGAGGGAGCCACCATGGAGAAGACCCTTCTTTTGGGTCCTGCCAGATGTGTTTCCTTAGGGGATGGAACACCATTCTTTGCCTCCCCATTCTAGTGGGTCAGGTAGATGTGACCAGCAAGAGACAGTCTCTCAGATAACTGGTCCCAAGCCATGAAGGGCTTTAAAGGTGATAACCAGCACCTTGAATTATTGCTGCTGGCTCCTGGAGCTTGTTTAGGAGCAGGATAAATCCTGCAGGTCTCTGGGTCACTTTGCATTCTCTTGCGTGACTGAGTGGCTGGGTAGGAGACCTAGGTCTATAAGTGGTAACAACCCTGTGGATGCCGGTAGCTTCTATTGCCCCTTATCCCTGAGGTACCCAGTGCTCTGCTTAATAACTCAAGTAGTCATTTAACATCATCAGGAAGAGGAGGGGTGATGTTAAGTAAGGTAATCATGGTATAGCTTAACAACCATCATAATTTGCAACTAATGGGTAGTTTCTATTATACAGTAGTTGTAACTCAAGGCCTAGCTGTATTGCAAGTTGGTTAAGACTTAAGTTTTTCTTGGTCTTATGACTTAGCAGCAATGCAATTTAATTGAAGCAATCACAAGTAGCCCAGTGCTCTATTCATTTATTCACTGGGTATATTGCCTGGTCTCTGCATGTCAGATAGTACATTGAAATGAATGACTGGATGCAAAGTTTCATAAAAGCATATCTTCACCTTTTATCCAGTCTTCTGCAGCTCCCTTGCATCTAATAATTAAATGAAATATTTGTCCATCCAAAGGTAATTCATGTTACAAAATCACATTTATTTGAAGCCATGTAACTGATGGAAATTATGGAACACAGAATGCTAACATGCTTCTCAGTCCTTTTAGATGATAAGAGCTACTTTTTCAAATTACAAATATAATAGATCAGCAAGAAATATTTCTAGGTTTCCACCTCTGTATGCTATTCCAGTTTACATTCTAATTAACATATATTTGATGATTATTGAGATTTCAGATTTCTTTAGAATGTTTATATAAGAATGACCAAGTTAGTGGCAGACTTGAGACAGAACCTCAGGGAGAAGACAGGTTCAGACTAAGATCATTTATAATATCGTTATAAAATGCTACATTAAGATGTGGATTGTTTTTTGATCACTGATTTGCATTATTTGGTAGATCTGGCTGAAGTCTTAGCAGGAATTACCAATCTTCTAATAAAATATGAGTCGGGTTTGAAGATTGAGAAAATCCAAACACTATTGCTTTCCACAATTGGAATTGATCTACAAGCATTTATCATCGCCAAAGGCTATAAGGATATCCTAACCTTTTTGGGTGACCAGATACCTAAGCTAATCATCAGACATCGAGAGAACCTTCACAGATGTGTTGTCCAACTTTCTGAAGGTATAGCACAGAGGACAGAACAGCCACAAAATCTCTATTTTAATAAAATTGATATAAATAATAAAATATAAATAGAATTTGAGTCCATATTTAATGTAATAATTAGAAATGTCTCTATATATTGTATAAGAAGGTTAAACTCTGATGGATCAGGTAAAAACTCTTATCAAATTTACCAACATTTTTTACATATCATCCAAACAGATGCCTCCAAAAAATCTGCATGGTTTATTTAACACCAGTCTATTTGCTTGAAATTAGAAACAAATTCCCAGAACTTTTTCTTAAAAAAGAATTTTAGTCTAGTTGTTATCTTGTGCAATTGATTAATTCAAATCAGATCTCGCAGATCATCCTACATGAGCAACTTTTAAAAAATGCATGAAATCCACTATATCTCAGAATTTCTGCCATATAATCCAAGTAGATTCAGATTCCACAAAACTGAAACCAGAACATTTTGGTTTTCCTGAGGGGAATAGGGCAAGGCTAGGATCCCTTACCTTTCTTCCTTTTCATGACTTGTGCACTGTCCTATCTTCTAATTTTCCCAGTGTATTTCTTTTTCTACAACCATTTAACAATTGCCTGTTTTCTTGGTTCAGGCATGTACATACCAAACCAGCCAGCCTATCTCCCTAATCACCCCAGTGCATTTTTTTGGTCTGCAAGAAAATGATGCAGTGATGCATCAAGCCATCACTTGATATCTTCAACAGCTGGACAGTCTATCTTCCTGTTGCTTTCTTTTCCTTCTTTCCCATTAATTACTACATGCCCTTCCTGTCAATCTTGGAATTTTGCCATTTTCTTGTCTCCATCCGGGCAACAACAGTCTCTTTCCAGAACTCAGTGTTTGGACTGGATACAGACCACCTGAAAGTATATGTTCTGTGCTCAGAACTGTTTGTGCATGGAACGTGTATATCCTTAGGGAACTTTAAGATGTGGCCGTTCTGATAGTGGTGGTGGGGAATTTGGAATTAATATATTTGGAAACTCCCATACTGGAAAACACTGATCTACCATGATTGATGGAGTTGCCATAGCAAGAAATACTTATCAGAAGCCATCAAAGTTCTAATAAAGGAGAGCATTGATGATGTTACCTAGTTCAGTTGTTTTCTTAGTCATTCCATTACCCAAGGTCAAAGAGCACTAAGGACCCTTCATAACAGTTCCTTCTACCTCTCTGACATGATTTGCCATAGTTTAAAATATTTTAGAGCAAGAAGACAATCTGTTTCTCAAAAAATTAGATACAGAATTCCTAGAGGAATGTTACGTTTTCTTCTGAAAGCATAGAGATCCTGTTCAGTAATGCATATCTAAATTAATTTATGGAAAAGTGAGCCCTTATTGCAATAATTATAATCTTAGTAGAAGTAATAGAGCAAAACATTCTTCTTTATCCTCTTTTTAAAAACCTGCTATCCTAATGCTCAGTTTGCCTCTTTCAGAAACTAGCCTTAATCTTAGTCTGGAAAAAGGGCTTTGTACTATTATTAAATAGAAATGATTTCTCAATGGCTAATGGGGACTACCTTCCAGGGAACACAACAGTGTGGCCTTGGTAGTTGATTTTTTCTACTTTTAAACAGATCATGAGGTCTGATCTGTTCATTTCAGGTTGATTGAGAATTTCTTCTTTCTTTCTCTTATACAAATTTCTGCAGGAGACACAGGGCTAAAAACTACCCTTGCTTGAATTTGATGGGATCCATGATAGCATTTATACGTAGCCTTAAATGAGATTAAGAGGAAGCTTTCAAATTCTTCATAAAATGTCACAAAAACTTCAGTGAGTTAGTTTCTTAATAAGACAATGAGAGATTTTGAGGAATGTACAAATATACTGTATCTGCGTATGTTGATGAAATTAGTTCCTAGCCAACAGTTCATTCTGTGGGCCTTCCTTCAAAACCTTTTCTAATCCACTTCCTTGAATTTAAGTTGGCTGGCAAAACAGCACCTCTTTTGACTCCAGAAACTGCATTTGACCTTTGGTTATTGAGCAAAGTGCCATCTCCTCAAAAATGTACTTAATAAATCCAGGAGCAAAATTTCATTTGACTTCATAAATTTTCATCAATTTTAGGTATAGTTAATCTGGCTGTTTTCAAGTTCCACACTGAATTATTTCATCCTTTTGTAACTTGAAATTACAATTTGCGACTTTGGGAGATTTCTAGGAGCATCCAATGGTTTACTCCTGCAGTATTGATTCATTTATAGCAAAACTATTTACTAATTACCTAATATGAGGATTGAAATCATTATCTTCATTTGCAGATTTAACAGTTGTATCAGTGCCAATTTGTGACATCTTGAAATTATATCCTGATGGCTTGAAGTTGTCAAAGTTAAAAGAGGCGGTGAAAAAGAAATGTGGATATGACCTGGAAGTATTTTGCTATCAGGTTGGCTTTTGCAACATAGTTTCCTGCCTCCAGGAGATTCCTAAGCTGATAATAAACAGGAATAAAAGCAGGAATTGTAGGATTCAACTTAAGCCAGGTAAGAAAGGTAACTGATGGGCAAACAGATGTTTGGATAAATGAATATGGAGTGGCTTTGAGGCATTTAAAAGAGCATGCTTATGCTGACCAAGATAGTTCAGGCAGGAAATAGCAATAAAATAAAGAGGGATGTGAACTACCAATAAAGTGAAATTTAGCTTATATACCTAGTATTTCAACAGTCCTGAATGCCTAATATCACTTTCTGAAGTTCACACTAAGGTCATTGGTGCTAATACGCTTCCAGGACTGGGTAGGATGATCATGGAAGATGACACCTATTACTTTCCAGGTAGTCCTCAGTTAATGGATTACTCATTCAACAACACCATTGAAAGGATGGTATTTACAAATGATCTGTGAACTTCTGTAATTATTGCAGTCTGCTCAAAAACATCCCCAAATTTCCAACTGTTGCAAAATCCACAATCATGTGACCATACTTTGTGACTTTCCTATAGGCTTCCACAAGCCAATTCAATGGAGAAACCTGCAGGAAGTAGGGTGTTTTGGTCACATGAAGTCCTTGTTTAACAAACCTGCATAGACCTTTCTTAATGATGGTAACTGGGGACTGCTGGAATTGCCATGTCGTAAAATGGGGCAAAGCTCACTTAACAAGTGACTTGCTTAGTTGGGTTCAAATGTGATGGGAAATCATGGACCACCTTTTTTCTAATTATAATTTTAGCCTATGTGTATTCCAAAAGGAGAAAGAAATGGTTTGCCCAAATGCTATAAAAATCATAGTAGCTGCTGTATTCCATTATACTTGTGAAACAATATGATCAATTTTTATGTTTCAGTCACTGGAGGACTGGAATCTATACCCAAATACTTAAACATTTTAATATCAGTTTCATTCTCTTTGGTGCTTCATGAAATCTTTTGAGTTTCTTGGCAAAAACAACCAGTTGTCTGCTAAATGATTACCATTGAGGGCTCTCAATAGAATCAGTGAATGCTTTGAGTGCTCAATTGTCCTACTGTGATTGTGAAAGGATAGCCACATTATTCACATGTAGAAAAAATAGAACATAAGAACATTGTTGTATATAAATTAAACATGAACATTGTTTATAATTATAAGGATGCTAATATAATGAGTAGGTTTACAAATAAGCTAACATAATTATAAATATGATTAGAATCATTCTTGTACTACTACGATTGCTATCAGTATAAATGTTACTATTTCTTTTCTTTTGAAAAATGATATGCCTGGAAAATACACTGTATTCAGTGTATAAATAAAAATATCCTGACTTATAAAAAAGAAAAGAAAAAGCAGAACACAAGGCCCAATATATAACTGGGTGTAATGAGCAAATTGAAAGTTTTTCCCCCTCCTTTTTGTGTTTGAGCAAAGTCAACAAATTAGAAACAATAAGTGTCATAATTTTATACAGAAAGTCTTCATTGAGATCATTAGAACAACTAAGAATTTCAACTTCAGTGAGCTAACCCAAGGACTTTAGGTTCACCTGGACTCACTATGATGTCACAATGGAAAAGACAGTAGTGTCAAGAGATATATTAAGCAAATCCAACCAGTGTTAGGAGAGGAGGCATAAGCAAAGCTTACAACTTCATTGCTATCAATATCTGAAACAAGGGAGCCAAGATGTTCTTCTGAAGATATGGTCCCTGTACTGAAGAAGCTTTTGACCCAAATATATTTGTGAATATTGAATATAGCATTCAAATGATCAAGGCAAAATCAAATCTACTTAAATTTCTTGTAATTTATTATAGGAAAACTAATATTAAAATGATGTGTGGAGGAATATGAGCTAATTCAGTGTAGTGGATAAAGGTGCTAGACTAGTTATTCACTCTCAGCTTTAGGCAGAAGTCAAAGGCGTTTAAACCACTTTTGAAATCTTCCTTTATATCATGGTGAGCATGAAGTATAGCTAAATCTCCCTGAAAAAACAAATAAACTGAAAAACCACAGTCTGTGATAGTGTCCCTAATATGATACATAATCAATTTTCAATTTAATTGGCAATGTGTAGTCAGATTTTTTTTTCTGGCCAGATTTGTTTCTTTGGCTTTTTAATTTCTATACCTTTCACCCCTACTTGTCTACTCTTCCAGGTTACTCAAGCTGCTCTTCATCCCGATCCAGCCGTTCTCCTTCTGATTCAGAACAGCCTATCTGCACATCAAAGAAAGTAAAGCAAGCTGCATCTGAAAAGAAGCCTGGTGAGTTTGATCTGATTCACTTAACAACTGCCATTTTTTTGAATATGGCCCTTGTAGTATTCTTGGTCTGGTTTGATGTATTAGTTTGTTCTCCATGGCTTTTCTGAACTGTATACACATTTTGTATACATGCCTGTATACACATTTTCAGCAATACTGAGAGAAGTTATGGCTTCACTCACTGCCCTCTTAAGCAGGTACTATATAAGATGGACCTGAGAGTTAAGAAATTGCAAGACTTGCTGATAAAAGAAAGGATTGATTTTGAGAAGTTCAGCATTGCCTAGGGCGACAAAGACACATTGGAATTTTTGGAACAAAAGATGCCTAAATTAAAGTTGAACTATCAAACTAACAGGCTTCATTAGCTATCCCCTGGATAGATCCATTACCCTTGGTGATGGTTATTGGCATCCCTAATGTGGGGAGTGGGTCTTGCATGTACAACACATCTAGAGTATTTGGCTTTGGATTGGGCTACAAAAAGAAAAAAAGTTTGATGTCAGAGCTGCCTCTGTTCATTTCCTAGGAAAGAAAATCCTTGACTCCATAGATTTAGAGAAAAGTACATTTACTAGAAACAAACTGATAGCAGACAGTTTCAAGCAAGCTATGAGGCCAAAAAAATGTAAATCCAGATTCAAACACAGTATGCAACCACCTTACAACTAGGCAACCACATACGAGAGCCAACGGACTTGGCCTTGGAGATAATAGCAGTTGCAAAGCTGCAATGTAAGCTTCCCCCTATTCCCTCCCTCCTATTCTATGGTGGTAAGCAGCAGGCTGGCTGACATTTGGTCTAGTAAAAATATTGTGCTACAGTCTAAGCTGGCTCCCTTGGCTAAGAAACAAAAATGAGCACTGCCCCCTAGAGTCAAGACATGACTGAACAGGGGAAATCTTGATCTTTTTTAATGACTGGAAATTTTGCCGTTGATGGTTTCCATTTATCTGGAGGGAAGGATAATTGAGAAGGATGGAGAAAATGGTCTTTCATATTACCCAAACTGTGAAGATGGAGTGACCTTTCAGTTGCTGAACTGAGTAAATAGCCAACACCTTATTCATCCCATCCTATCTATCAACTACTAATAGTTGAGAATCTGTAATTGGATGGGGTTTTTTGGCCAGATTTGTTTCTCTGACTTCTCATATTCTGAATGTTCTCACATTTCCCCCCTACGTTTCTACTATTCCAGTTCCCTTCAGCTGCTCTTCATACCAATCCAGCTATTCTTCCAGTTCTGACTCAGATCAATCTACTGGCACATCAAACAATTCAAACGAAGATGAATCTGAAAAGATGCCTGGTAAGTTTCTATTTAATTCTAAAATTTTGGAAACAATGGGAACCAGGCTTAGAAAGATCAGGGAATGTTAGATGAAGTGGTCTATTTCTATGAAAACAGATTGTTAATACCATTAGGTATCAAGTCCTCTTGACAATCAAGTAGATCCTTTATCATTTCTGCACCTGCTATAATTGTTACTGCATATGGTACTCTCAGTTCAAACATGTACATGTTCTTTCTTACAATAAGTATGATTTACTTAAAAGTTTGTGTACAACTCTGGGTTTATAGGGCAGAACAGTCTCATATAACCCTAGAACAATTTTTTTCTACTCTGGTATGCTAAGGTGTATTGGAATTAGATTATCAAATTTCTCTTCTAGCATGTTTCAGAGAGATTTCTGGGAGTTGTAGCCCCAAAAATATCTAGAAGGCATCAATTTGAATTTTGCTAGATCATATCAACAGCCATGACCTTCTTCAGCCATATCATCATACCAACAGCTATCATCACCATCAGCCATAGTTCGCCATTTTTTCATTACAGTACAACAATAAAACTGATTATTCCATACAATATACTTCTCTTTTGCTGTTTCACAGTAATTAGTAGTTCTGCCCCATTCTAGAGCCTAAAGATTGTCATTTTGATGTGCAGCTCTTAATCTTTTCAAATGCCTAACCTTTTAAAATCCTACAGCATTCAGAACAATTTATAGTGAAATTGAAAAGATCCTGCCCAGCCCAATTTTACTTCTGTAAATGTGTGTCTCACATTTGCTGATCACTCATTTATTTATTAGTTTGGATATGTTATTTTTACATAAATATTACAAGATAATTCAGTTTATGAGAAAATCATAAAAGTTGGAAACCTGTGCAGCCCTGCTTGAAAATGGGAAGATCAACATTAATTCAAACAGCCTTCCACTATCTACTATCCATTAGTTTATTAATCTAAAAAATCTAATATTACTATTGTTAATGCATAATAGGACCCATGATAAGGATCAAACTATTGGAGAGTACCAGCATGAAAATAAGTAAATTAAAAGTGATCTTAATAAAGATTAGAAATTAGAGTATAATTGCTTGGTATCCTTTTCTGGAAGATGGCAAACCTGTAAAATTAAAGGATTGACATATTTTAAAAATAACTTTGGAAGGTCTTGGGAAAATGACAAATTAGAAAATGTGTACATCATGAATTCTTTGTAAAAGAATTTGCCTTTTTCCTTACTGCTTATTCCCCCGAAATATAGAACAATCTGCCCAGGTACAAACAGTGCTAAAACAAGAAACCAGCCATGATAAATCACAGAATAAATAGGATGTTCTAATCTAAACAAATAAGTGGTGCTATTTTTTTAGAATAGAATTTTTTTAGTTCTCTGTAGAGGTGAATATAGAAATGGAATTCGATCACTTTCAAGCAATGAGCCATTGGTTATGGTTTATGTGTGTTTAAATAGGCTGTTTTAACCATGGTCTTCAAACATGCCTGATGAAATAGTTCACATATTGTGTGTCAGCTTTGGAAGCCATATTTTACTCAGAAGCTTGGATGAAATTTGTTTCTGAGTGCTGAATGAAATGGGGAGTTTCATTGGAACGCTGACATTGTGCCTTATTATGCTGAGCTAAAACCAAGCAAATCGCACTATGGCTTAATATAGTATGTATGTATTGTCTCACAGGCCTAGTAAGTTGGTTTTAACAGGGTTGTTGATTGGAATCTAATTTGCTTTTGTATTCTTGGCCATAATACCTTGTTTTGCACTTTTCAGAAAAGTATTTCGTGGCCTGTTTAGTTGAATAAATGTTAAGTTCAGCACAAGCAAACACATGCATATAATTATTAAGATGGGATTCCTAAATATTTTTTTATGTGTGACTATATGATATTATGGTATTCATGGATTGGTTTGATGTATTAGTTTGTTCTCCATGGCTTTTCTGAACTTTATGCCTGTCTATATATTTTCCCTCCTTTTCAACAGTACTGGGCGAAGTCATGGCATTGGTCACCGCCCTCTTAAGCAATTATGAGAAGGGCCTGAGAATTTTCAAATTGCAAGAGTTTTTGCTGGTAAAAGATGGGATTGCTCTTGAAAACTTCAGTATTGCCCACGGTTACAGAGATACTGTGGAATTCATGAAAAAAAAGATGCCTCAACTAGTGTTGAGCTGCCAAAGGGACAGGCTTAATACTGTTGCCATTGAACCTCACTCAGGTAATGCATCCCTTGGATAGATCCATCACTTCTGGTGATGGTTATTGTCATATATAATGTGAGGGTGTGAGTCTTGGATGTACATACAGAGTATTTGGATGTGGACCGAACTACACACACACAAAAAAGTTTGGTCTAGTAAATATGTTGGGCTAAGTCTAAACCAGGGGTCGCCAACCTTTTGGACCTCAGGGACCACCAAACTCATAATTTTAAATCCCAGGGGCCACTAACTGGTTCTGTGGGCATGGCCTAATTTGTGGGTATGGCTTGGTCATGTGACTGGCTGGGCATGGATTGTATGTTAATATTATAAATATTTATATAAATATTGAATTTCTAAAAAAAGAGCAACTTTTACCCAAAAGCAGGCAGGCAGATTAAGTTGCTCACAGAATCATTCAGTGATCTATCTATCTGCCATCGGCTAGCTCAGTCTGTCATATAAAATTTGCTTGCTGTGAGTCTGCACTGAATAATAGAAGGGAACAGGGGTGGGATTCTACAGGTTCTCTCCTATTCGCTAGAACCGGTTGTTAACTTTCTAAGCAGTTCGGAGAACCAGTTGTTGGAAGAAATCTCCTTTTGTTTTTTCCCACCCTTCTTGCATTCTTGGTAGTATGCCTAGACTTACTGTTTCCAAAAGAGCTTTGTTTTTTCTTTGCTGGTACTTTCTTAACGGGGAAGGGTTGCTTTAAGCTTTTTATACTGCTGTTCGGAGGAAATGCTCCCCTGTTGGGTTAGTTTGAAGAAATAATTGAATAATAAAGCAGAGCTGCCAGAAAAAAGCTTTTAATGACAAGGAACCAAGATGAGTGACATTCAGCAAGGCTTCTTGGCTAGCTAGAAAGATTGACATTCAAACATGAGTCTAAAATTGGTGACCATTCAAAGTTACAATGACACTGAAAAAAGTGAGTTATGACCATTTTTCACACTTACGAACGTTGCAGCATTCCCACTGTCATGAGAAGCCAGGCAAGAAGAAGCGCCCCTTGATGTGAATGACATCGAGTTGGCCACCCCCACCCAGTCACATGATCAGAAAACCACACCCACCAACTAAGACACGGCCACAGAACCGGTTGTTAAAAAAATTGAACCCCACCCCTGTAAGGGAGGTTCAGCTGTGCTTAAAAGCAGAGCCTAAGATCTAAAAACTAGCTAGAAAGCAAGAAATCCAACCATTCCCTGTTTCCTAGCTAATCTAAATCTCCAGGCACAGTAGAACAGCTGATGGTCAGAAAAAGGAAAAATAGCAATTTAGCAGGAAAGTTTGCCGGGTAAGGAGTGAGTGGACGGGAGGGTTCCCGCGGGCCACGTGGGCGGTGCAGCCTTGTATTTCTGCACAGCCTGGATTAATTGCTTTGGGGGGTGCTCTGGGGGATGAGATTTCTCTGTGGCCCACCAAACTTTTCTCATGGCCCACCAGTGGGCCGTGGCCCACCAATTGGCAACCATTGGTCTAAACTGTAATCCTCCTTCAAGTATGGAAATTGGCCAGTTACTTTCTTGGAGTCCAGTTTGAAGTTTAAAGTTATTTGAAGTTGCATTGTTTATAATAAAAATGGTGACTTGCATCCTATCTTCATGGTTACAGCCATTATACTACTCCCTTGGTTATGTGATCATAATTTAGGCATCTGTCAACTGTCTTGCTTTTGTGATGGTTGCAGCATCCTGTAGTCACATGATTCTTATTTGTGACCTTCATTGGTATCTGACAAGAAAAGTCAATGAAGGAAGCTAGATGTGCTTAGTACCATCTGATTCATTTACCAACTGACATCATTCACTTAATCACTATGAGTCTGATCATATAATGATTCACTTACCAAATACATCACTTAATGACTGAATCCTGGTCCTGGTTGTGATCATGAGTTAAGACCTATCTGTAAAATCCAATAAATAATCAATTCCCTGCTTTTCACTTTCTTTTCCATCTGGTGGTAAAAGAAATTTGTAAATTTGTCACTATTTTCTAACACTATCAAAATGCAATATTTACAATGACCTACAAGTTCTCCCTGAAGGGAATCACCTGCCATTTATTAGTCTTGTGAGCAAGTTAGCTACTCCTCATCTTTTCCTGCACCTGGCTACTCCTGGTTACTCTCACTTGAGTCATGTGCATATTCTTTCATTTAGTTAAAAGAAGGTTTGTATAGAACTGCATGTTTACAGGGCAAAATAGGCTCATATAAATCCTACAATTGTTTTTTCTCCAGGTAGAATAGAACAGTTTTTTCTACTCTGGTATCCTAAGGTGTGTTGGAATTAGAATTTCAGAACTCTTTACTGGCATATTTCAGAGAGTTTTCTAGACTTGGAGTCCCAAAACATATAGAAGGCACCAATTTGAATGTTATTGGATCATATCAACAACCCTTACCATCCTCAGCCATACCACCATTTTTAAATCAAAAGCTTTACCACCATCAGCCATGCTTCACTTTCTTTACTACAGTAGAACCTGTGGATATGAGTATCCCATACAATAGACATTTCCTGCTGCTGTTCCACGGTAGTTCTGTTGCATTCTAGAGTCCACATATTGCCATTTCAGTGTGCAGCTCTTGATGGGCGACTCTTCACAAATGTACCTAATGTTATTAAGAGTTGCTCATTATTCCATTCAGAAAAAAAATTATAGTTACACTTTGAAGTTTTTCTTAGCCCAGTTTTTTTTGTTTTTTGTTTTGCTGTACTTACTACATCAGTGATGCTGTGTTGCTGATCACATTTTTTTCTGTATAGTTTGGATGTGGTTCTTTGTACATAAATATTCCATGGTAATTCAGTTTATAATAAAATCATGAAGGGAAGATACCTGTGCAACTCTTCTTGAAAATGGAAAGATCAACTTAGATTCCAACATCCTTCACCAATCCACTATTCAGCTATTAATCTAAACATTCTAATATTACTATTGATATTTCTTGACAGGGATCCAATCCTACTGGAGGGTACCAGAATGGGAACCAATAGATTAAAAGTGTTCTTAACAAACCTTAGAAATTAGAGTATAATTGCCTGATATCTTTTTCTAGAAGCTGATATATTTGTAAAATGAAAGGATTAATATATTTTATAAATATCTTGAAAGTCTTGGGAAAAAGACAAATTAGAAAATTTATTAATTTGTAACAGAATTTGCCTTTTTCTTTACTGCTTATTCCCCCGAAATGTAGAATACTCTGCCCAGGTACAGACAGTGCTAAAACAAGAAGCCAGGCATGATAAATCACAGAATAAATAAGGTGTTCTGAACTAATAAGTGATGCTATTCATTTTTGTTTTCTATAGAGGTGAATATAGAAATGGGATTTGTTCCCTTTCAAGCAGTGAGCCATTGGCTATGGTTTATGTATGTTTATATAGACTGTTTTAACCATGGTCTTCAAACATGCTAGATGAATTAGTTCACATATCATATTGTGCCTTATGCTGAGCTAAAACCAAGCCAATCACACTATCACTTAATATATAGTATGTACATCTAATCATAGGCCCGGTAAGTTGGCTTTAACTTGGAGTTGTTGATTTGAATCTAATTTGCTTTTCTATTCTTGGCCATAATACCTTGTTTTGCATTTTTCAGAAATGTATTTTGTGGCTTATTTAGTTCTACCATAGCATATGTTAAGTTAAGCCAAAACAAACAGTTGTATATAATTATTGATTAAGATGATTTTTGTTATAAATATAGCCATTGTGGCATTCTTGAATTGGTTGGATTTATTAACTTGTTTTCATGTTTTTTTTCCTGAGTTTCATGTCTCTGTATACATTTTCTCTTCTTTTCAACAGCACTAAAATATGTCACAGCATCACTCACTGCCCTCTTAAGCAGGTATATGTCGGGCCTGAGAGTTATAGAATTGCAAGACTTGTTTCTGGCAGAAGAAGGATTTGATCTTGAGAAGTTCAGCTTGGCCTTGGGACACAAAGACACTGTAGAATTTTTGGAGGAAAAGATGCCTCAACTGAAGTTGAACTATAGAACAAACAGGCTTAATAGCATTGTCATTAAACCTCACTCAGGTAAACTCTAGCCTAAATAGATCCATCACTCCTGAGTGATGGTTATTGGTTTACAATAATGTGTGTGTGTGTGTGGGGGGAGTGAGTCTCGCATGTACAGGTTATCTAGAGTATTTGGATTTGGAATGGGCTACAAAAAGAAAGAAAAAAATGGTCAGTTACTTTTTCTGACTGCAAGCTGTCTCTAAGTGTTACGGAGCAAATAAGTAACATGTGTCAACATGAGTTTTAAAAAATAAAACAAGATACAAATCTGTAAGTGGTCTTTAATTTATGACCATTCTTTTAATCAGTTTAAGTTCAACTCATGCTGAAAAACACGACTTAAACTCATCCTTGAAGTTACAACCATCATATCACCCCCTCGACTGTGTGATCAAAGTTTAGGCGCAATTGTCTGGCATTTGTGATGGTTGTAGCATCCTACAATCACATGATTATGATTTGCAACCTTCCTGGCTGGCTTTCAATAAGCAAAACCAATGAAGGAAACTGGATGTGCTTAAGAATCATCTGATTCAGTATTAACCTGCATTTGTTTAACACCTAACATGATTTGCTTAAGAATTACGGGAAAAAAAATATTGCAAAATTGGGTCTAGTCACATAATGTCTCATTTAACAAGCACATCGCTTTGTGACTGAATACTGGTTCCAGTTGTGTTCCTAAATTGAGGATTATCTGCAAAATTTCCAGTAAATAATCTCTTCCCTGCTTCCCACTTCCTTTTCCTCTCCATCCAGTGGTAAAAGAAAGCTATCACAGTTTTCTATCAAACTAAAATGTTAAAGCTAGTGACCACTTGTATGACTAACTTTGTCACTTGTATCCGTACGATTTATATTGACTGTTTCCTAGTATGATTTGATTGCTTATTATACCCTATGACTATTATTAAGTGGTGTATCTTATGATTCTTGACTCTTGACGAATGTATCTTTTCTTTTATGTACACTGAGAGAATTTGGACCAAGACAAATTCCTTCTGTGTCATCCCTGAAGGGCAATGTCTGCCATTTGTTAGCAAGTATACAATGGCGGAAAGTTGCACAGATTTGGAAAAGGCCCATAATTAGGGATAATTTTATAGGGGAAAAGTAGGGGAATAGTGCCTGCTTAGAAAATGGAGGACTTTCATAAAAAAATAAAGTGTTGGGAAATGTGCATGGGACACCAGTCGGTGATTTTCTGTGCATTAGGGTTCACTGAATTAATTAGAATGCGTTATTAAATTGTCATAATGGTTGGAAAACAGGGTGCGATGGCTCAGCAGTTAAAGGTGCTGAGTTTATAACTGGAAAGCTGACAACCTGGGTTTAAGACCTGAGTGCTTAGTGATTGGATGAGCTCCCGTTATTTGCTCCAGCTCCTGCCAAACCAGCAGTTTGAAACCATACAAATGGGAGTGAGATAGATACCACACAGGTGGAAAAGTAACAGTGTACTGTGTGCCTTGGGGTATTACTATAGAATAAGAATAGAATAGAATAGAATTATTTATTGGCCAAGTGTGATTGGACACACAAGGAATTTGTTTTGGTGCAAATGCTGTCAGTGTACATAAAAGAAAAGATACATTCGTCAAGAGTCAAGAATCATAAGATACACCACGTAATAATAGTCATAGGGTACAATAAGCAATCAAATCATATTAGGAAACAGTTAATATAAATCGTAAAGATACAAACAATAAAGTTACAGTCATACAGTCACAAATGGGAGGGGATGGGTGATAAGAAGTGATGAGAAGATTAATAGTAATAGTAGTGCAGACTTTGTAAATAGTTGGACAGTGTTGAGGGAATTATTTGTTTAGCAGAGTGATGGCGTTCGGGGAAAAACTGTCTTTGTGTCTAGTTATTCTGGTGTGCGGTGCTCTATAGCGTCGTTTTGAGGGTAGGAGTTGAAACCGTTTATGTCCGGGATGTGAGGGGTCTGTAAATATTTTCACAGCCCTCTTTTTGATTTGTGCAGTATACAGGTCCTTGATTGAAGGCAGGTTGGTAGTAATTGTTTTTTCTGCACTCCTAATTACTCTCTGAAGCCTGTGTCTGTCTTGCTGTGTTGCAGAACCAAACCAGACAGTTATAGAGGTGAAGATGACAGAGTCAGTAATTCCTCTGTTGAACTGTATCAGCAGCTTTTTGGCCTGTTTGAGCTTTCTGAGTTGGCGCAGAAAGAACATTCTTTGTTATGCTTTTTAATGGTTTTTGATGTTAGGTGTCCATTTTAGGTCTTGAGATATGATAGAACCTAGAAATTTGAAGGTCTCTACTGTTGATATTATGTTGTCTTGTATTGTAAGAGGTGGTAGTATGGAAGGGTACATATGCTGGCCACATGACTACAGAAGTGTCTTTGGATAAATGCGGGCTCCCTCAACTAAGAAACAGAGATGAACATTGCCCCTAGAACTGGACATGACTGGACTGGGAAACCTTTACCTCATTCTATCTGCCAATCTTCCCCTGCATTTCCATTCCTTGTTTTGTTATATCTCCGCAATGGATAAATAAGTTTTGGAAAATATTGTCACTAATGTGAGCTTGTACTTTTTTAACAGCTATCTACAGTCTTTCTGTATGAAAGTGCATTCTGGGATTTTGTTCTGCTAAGGAGAGTTAGCCTTTAATTGTTAGCATGTTTATTTTCCATATTGCTCTTTAAAAAAAACTAGCTTTTTGATCTATATAACAACAGAAGTCAGTATTTGATTGCTTAAATTTCTTCTCCAATACATCCCAATGTTAAATTTACTTTGTGAAATGCTCCAGTTCCTCCTCTGGAATCCATAGGAACAGCTGACCCGCTAAATTCTGATCTAGGTAAAACTTTAAGCTTCTTACTTATAAAGATAGAGATGGTTTTCAAGAAGACCTGCAATAGCCTGTAATTGTTAGCATGTTTATTTTCTATATTGTTTTTTTAATTAACCTTTGAGATCTTCACAATAATAAAGATCAATACACAATTGGTTCAATTTCTTTTCTCCCAATACATTATGATGTTATCTTTGTTCGATTTATTTATTTTTATTTTATTATTTTATTTTGTCAAGCGATTATAAGATAGCGGGTTATAAGTATAAACATAGTTATGAATACATGAAATGGATACATATAAGAAAAATAGAAAGAAACAATAGGACAGGGATGGTAGGCATGTTTGTGTGCATAAGCCCCACCCCCCACAGACCTCTTAGGAAAGGGTTGAGGTCAATAGTGAGGTCAATAGCAGACAGTCTAAGGTTAAAGTTTTTGGGGTTTGGGGAAGAAACCACAGAGTCAAGTAGAGTATTCCAGACATTGACTACTCCGTTGCTGAAGTTGTATTTCCTGAAATCAAGTTTGGTGTGGTTCACCTTGAGTTTGTATCTATCGTGTGCTCTTGTTATGGTTGAAGCTGAAGTATTCATTGACAGGTAGGACATTGCAATATATAATTTTATGTACTAAGATCAGTCTGAAGGCGGCATAGTTCTAGATTTTCTAGGTCTAGAATTTCAAGTCAGGTGGCATAAGGTATTCTGCAATGAGTAGAGAACTCTTCTTGTGAAATATTTCTGGACTTTCTCAACTGTATTAATATTAGAAACGTAATGCAGGTTCCAGGCTGATGAACTGTATTCAAGTATTGGTCTAGCAGATGTTTTGTATGTTCTACTTAGTAGTGTGATATCAGAGAAGAAACTACCTAGGATTAGATTAACAACTCTTAATTCCTTTTTGGCTATGTAGTTACAGTGGGCTCTAGCACTTAGATAATTAGAGATGAGTACTCCAAGGTCCTTTACAGAGTTTGGATCATCAACAAGGTCTTGATTATTCAGCTTGTATTTTATTTTCTGATATTTTTTGCCAATATGTAAGACAGAACATTTATCTGTTGAGATTTGAAGTTGCCATTTGTTTTGACCATTCTGATACATAGTCGAGGTCTTTTTGAAGGGTGGCAGTATTGTTGGTGGTATTGAATAGCTTTACATCATCAGCGAAGAGAATGCAGTTACTCTTAATATGATCACAGAGGTCATATATGTAGAGTATGAAGAGAGTTGGTCCTAGAACATTACCTTGGGGGACACCACTGTTGATAGGTACAGAATTTGATAGGATGCTCCCAATTCTGACCATTTATTGTCTGTTTGACAGGAATGCTTCTATCCAGTTATGCAGGTGTTCAGGGATACCATAAGATTTTAGTTTTAGGAGTAGTTTGTCATGTACCACTGAATCAAAGGCTTTACAGAAGTCTATGTAGATTGCGTCTATTGCTTTGCCCTGATCGAGTTGTGTAGTCCATATGTTTTTGCAGTGTCAGAGTTGCAGATTACAGGACAGTTTTTTTCTGAACCAAATTGTTTATTAGAGAGTAGGTTGTTTGTCTCTAAGTGGAGGATGATGGATTGGTTAATAATTGATTCCATGACTTTACAGGTGATGCAGCATAAAGAGATTGGTCTGTAATTTTCAACTAGGCTGGGGGTCTCCCTTTTTGAAGACTGGGATGGCTGTGGCTAATGACCATAGGTTTGGCAAGGAGCTGGTCCTGAAAGATTTTTCAAAGATTATGCTTAGAGGTTCAGCTATGGCAGTGGATAGCTTTTTAAAGAAGTAGGCACATATTCCTTCTGGTCCAATAGATAGAGATGGTTTTAGATTGCATAGTGCCTTTTCAACATTGTCTTCTGTAAAATCAATATGTATTAGATCATTGTAGTTGTCTGTGGTTCGACTAGGAAATACTGGGCATGATCCATTGCTGTTTACAAATATTGAGCCAAAGAATGTGTTAAAGAGGTTGGCTTTAATGGTGTCATTGTTGCAGTCTTTACCCTTAGGTCCTTTCAGGGGTGGGATACACCTTGAGTCTTTTAGTTTGTTGTTTACAAAATTGTAGAAAGTGCGGGTGGAATTGGTGCGTAGAAGGTTTTCCTCTTGTTTAATGTGATAATTGATGCATTCAGTCTTTATCTGGTGGCATAAATTTTTGTATCGGC